ATAAGATGTCAAAGCGCTTAATCGAAACGAAACAGAGCATCAAGAACCTCGTCGTAGAGCGAGAAGCGGTGGCAGTCGAGCTGCATCATCTACGACCGGAATTTCCGAAGATGGCAGTTCAGGCCAACACGCTGATTATTATACAGAAGTAAGTTTCATTTTCAAGTTACAAATTTGATTTTGGACGTTTCAGAACTTTTATAATTTAATAACAGAAAGAGATAGTAGCAATAACTTGAAAAATATGTGTAACGCTGATTGACTATCGTGTTGTGAGGGCGTAATTTTCTTAACGTTGCCGCGCTATGAAAGGTTTAATTTACTGCATGATTTAATTTATCCGTATGATATTGCAGACCGAGGATTGCGAAAGTAAGAAAAGTTTATAAGAATTACATTTGTAATTTATAGGACGTAAACATAGAAGAGGATACAGAGAGTAGTTCTGATTACATGGGTGAAACGAGTAACGATGAACACAGTGGGTGGTGGTAGCCAATCTGGAGCCAGTATGAAACCAGGCGATGATCTTGCTACAGATAGCACATTAAAACGGATTCTAGAGCAGGATTATGACCTAATGAGTATTAAGAACAAGGTAAGCTAGTAATTAAATTTTAGTTAATATACATATATATTACAGATAAGCTATAAAGCGTTTGTGCCGGATACATTTTTCAACAACTAAAAACTATTCCTGCTGTTTGCATTTTATTTATTTTTCATATTTAAATTAAAATTATACAAGGATTGTAATTTATGTTAAAAACTAATCTTTCACTGAAAACAAATATCATACAAATATATCACTGATATTTATTTCAGCTTATACTTCTGGCGCAACCTACTGTGATAAATATTCCAGAATCTCTGGCACAGCATTTCACTACGACGCAGTTTACGAATATCCCAGAGAAACCTTAATTCTCATATCGCAGAGTACGAATGTCTCAGAGAAACTCTCTGATTGTGTCGATTAATTATCGAACGGAAAAAGGAAAATACAATAGCAATGTTTTTTTACGTATCAGGATAAGCTGTGATTATATAAAAAAAAAAAGAAAAAAATAACGGAAAACAGAACCGAGCAGGAACAGGACGCAACTGTATTTCTAGACAGTCTGATTTTGTAAATTATTCTACGAGGAAAACACTTGTGTATTATATATATATGTATATGCGGATATGCGATATACAATTTGATATGATATATGATCTATGACGTTTGTTTATTACTATGTAAAGTGACAGACTTCGAAATTAAACATTAATTACTGTTAATCGTGGCGTTTTGAATTTACTCTTTTTCTTTTCTTTTACCTAAAGAGGATCATGAGAAAGTGAGAAAATTCCAAACGCTGCGAGAGTGCAGACACAATGGACATCCGAATTTTACAAAACGTGAAAAAACATTCGTCTTTTCTCATCTCTAAACTCCTCAGACCGTGTTAATATTTAAACAAAATAATTTACACGTCACTCATAGAGCTAGCGCGATAAAAAAATAAGTTAACATTCGTTGAAACAACATTATACATTTATGCCTAACAACAATTTTTTGTGCTTGCACTCGCGAATCTCTTGCCGACGTGATACTCGATTTTCTCACACAGAATTTCTTGCTATAAGACACAAAGGGGAGTTTACTTCTTGCGGAAAATACTCGACATGCTGGGCGATTCAATTTTCTGTTGAAGAGATCTTGTTCATCTTCTGGCGCATATCCTTGGCAGACATTCACCGTCGTCATCGATAGGGAAAACCCGGAGCTCGTCGAGTGTCCTGGAATGAAGATAATTTTTTTACAAACGTTTAAACATTTTTCGTTATCGAGAAAATGTGTACAGGATACATAATGTTTCTAGAAAAGTATTCAATGGTCCAAAGATATCGAAATTCAGAAATATTCTACCAAATCTACTATGGATTATTGCGACTGTAGATTACAATTATATAATCACAGTAATTTCAAATCCAGGTCGCTGCCTGGTCTGCCGAGATCAGGAGATCTTTTCTTCGGCAATCAAAAATTCCAAGAAAATTAGCGTGTCGCTATAATAATGAGGGATGTTCGAAAGATTGCACCGCGTGATAAATTACAGTAATAAAATATAAAATTTCTTATATTTCTTTACCTCTGTATGTCTTATAGTTATTAATTCGTCAATTATTATAAACACAATCAGATATGTTTAGATTAACATAATTATTTTTATTCAATACCTATCTATTGGCTTCATTCAGTAAATACTGCCTGCACTCCGCTTCTCTGAGCAAGAAACGCACTGCATCTTCTTGCTGAGGTAGGCATTGATTTACCAACGTTTTGAGATGCCTCAGTTCCGGTAGTACTACTCCGGAAGCGCATTGACAGCATCAACGAGTTTCTAACAGCAGCTGATATTGGTATGTAGGAGCAACATTCAACAGCTAGTAATCTTCTCTCTGTGTACTTGTGTTGACTCTGCTCCCAACAAATCGTTAGAATGTCTTCCGTTTCCAGCGGCTCTTCGGTGAGCTTCGCCATTACGACTAAACCTGATAAAAAAAAAAAAAGAAAGTAACCTTTAGTAACAGGTACATTCAGTAAGCAAAACACATTTTTTAATTATAAATGTATTTTATACATTGCAATATGCAGTACATAAGTAGCAACAAACCCGACTCCTCTTTTCAGAAAGAATAAATCTTATTGTATTTAAATCTATTAATCCTAAATCGATAAACTGTATTTTTTTTTACTAACCAGTCAATATCATTTGTCGCTCGTCCTCTTGCGGCCTCTTTTTTATAAACGACGGTTAATGATGATGGTGGTGGTGGTGGGGTGATTGTTATATTTTACCGGTTCAACAGGAAGCACTGAGAGCACACAAAACAATAATTAATCAATCATAGTTAATTATTTTCCTCACATTCGATTGTGATTGATCAATTTCTCACAGCAGATCTTAATGGAACACTTAATAAAGTTGTAGGGTAGTATTTCATTGTCGGATCTTTTATATTTAAGGCCGGCTGGAGTAATCTTAAGAGAGAGAGAGATGTTATAAACTAATCACTCGATTGTTAGATATAACAGAGCCGTATATATTATCAACCTTAAGCCATTGTCTTGAAATAAGAACCGACTATGTATACTAGCCTTAATTTTACTCATTAATTGTTCGTTGCTTAGCAAGGAAGATTTTACAGAAAAATATATTGCTCTTTTTCTTACCTATATAACAGGAGATGAGGTAATATGCGAAATCGAAATATATACGCAAGCCGTCCGCGACTTCTCTGCATATATTTACTTCGTTTACTGTCTTCTCTATGGTATACGGTATTATTCACTTTACTCCGTTGAGGTTTCTGTTCGGAATATTCGTAAACTGCGTCGTAGTACAATGCTATGCTAATCTGACAAATAAATTGAAAATAGGTTAAGCACGTTTCCCGTGTTGATAAACTATAACGTAATGCGTTCCGAAACCACCACATATTCTACGTCTCACCCCCACTCTCCGGCAGCTAAACGATATACAGTTTTTCGCTTTTTTTAGCGAAACCGTGATCTAACAAACGTTTTACTTAGTATATTCGGAACTAACAAACGATTCCGCATCGATTGACCACGGTTTGAATCGAAAATTGTAAAGAATTCTATATTTACCGGCTAAATTAACACTAAAAATTATTTTTGTGATTACGTAAAAACTATTAACTAACAAACGTTCTAATTAGTCTAACAATCAATAACAAACGACTAACAATCGATTCGTAAAAAAAAAAATGTCGTAAGTCGAAATTGTCCGGCTAACTTCTATGAGGTGTGCTTCTCGGAGTAGTCGAAGTTCTTGGTTCCCTGGATGCACCATGCACCCATTTGATTGCTGACGAAGCAGACAGAAGCAGACGAAGTACGAAGTCATAAGTAAGGTTAGATTATTAATGGTAACATTTCCTGTGCACATTGTGCACAAAAAGTATCAACGTAAATTTTAACAAAAATTATCAAAATAATTTACAAGGTAAATAGGTATATTATAAATATTGATAAAAATAGCTTTAGAATGTTACACATTTATGCACAAAATGAATGGTGTTTATTAAGAATTAGGGTATTATCGTGGTAGAAATATATTGTGAAAATATGTAAACACACACACACACACACACACATATTATATATATATATATATACACATATAACTACATATTTTTAGGATATGTAAAAAATATATTTATTTATTTGGCGCAATGGGATAGTTCTCTTCAGAAAGATTTAAAATATATTTATCTATTATATAAAGATATATATAATCAAATGTTCCGACTAACTCATCAACGCCCAGTCCAAACCCCTACGCCAAGAAACATGAAATTCGGGGAGTATATTCCTTCCATGACATAAGCACTCACTAAGCATTTTTAGAAATTTGATCCCTAATGGGGTGAAAAGGGATAAAATGTGTTTTCACGGATTCTCTCTCCTCAATATCTCTTAGGCGCGATAAGATGTCGACTTGGTTTTTGCTTACAAAGGTTACTCATACAAATACAAATGCTTAAAAACATAATTCCAGATTTTGCCCTAATCAACCCCTAAAGGTGCAAATCTAAATTCGGGGTTGAATTATAGAATCCTTTGCATACCGTAGTGAAGCATCGGTGTATCAAGCTAGTATATTATATAAATACAATAAGAGTTGTAATTAATTACTTGAAAAATATGAAAAAATATGAGTACCTATATATGAGTATATGCGCACGCCACACACATACACCACACATACACACACACACATACACACACACACACACACACACACACACACACACACACACACACACACACACACACACACACACATGCATACATGCATACTTATAAATAGCTGCAGAAATTTAACTAATGTTTTTTAAACATATATTAAAATTAAATTGACAGAATTATGTATTTTATTGAAAAATACAAAAAATTTTTTCAGAGATGTTTGATGCCAAAACTAAAAAACATAAAGTCTCGAAAAGGACAAAAAAGTCATGGAGAAAGTACATCGATTTCAAAGATGTAGATGCATTTCTTGAAAACAGTAGATTAGAAGAACGATTAGGCATCCCTTTCTCCAAGCGCACAGATACTCAATTGTTTATCATTGATAAAACTGATGTGACTGGAAATGTAATTTCTAAATGTGCTGCCAGATTAGCATTGAAGAGTAAAGAACCAAGATGTTTTGCTTCTTTGAAACCACATACACATGTTCCTGATCCAATTTCGAAACGAAACCTAGTAAGGACCAAAGAAGAACACACGAATTCCATGTTGTGTCAACCCAAAGTTGAAAGAAAAATTATGTGTATTCTCAAATTAAAAGAGAAGGAAGCATTGAAGAATAGGATGCTCACAAAAGCTGTTTCAGCAAACCATCCAAAAAAAGGAGAGAATAAAGATGATATATGGAATGGCACAAATGTCTTACTGCCAGAAACAGTCACTGAATGGATGTCTTCAGACAGTATTAGGCATACGATTAGCCATTTAGGAATGAAGAAAAGAAAAGTACCTTCATTATTGCGTAAAAAATCATCTGTTTTGCCTGCAGTGGAGATGCCACATCCAGGTACATCTTATAACCCATCTTATGACGATCACCAGAAACTGTTGCACGAAGTTGCCCAGAAAGAATTGGAGCTTATGAAACAAGAAGAACATTTGGACAGAGTCACAACTCAGATGTTTAAAAAAGTAAATTATTAACTAATTATATTTCCTTGTATAAATTTTATATATCGTAATCATCATCATCATCATGCTATTTCCTAATTTATATATTTTTTGAACTGTTATTTTATATTTTATGTCTTTTGAATATGAATTTATAATATTAAATTATTTACTTGTTTAGATTTCATTAAACAAAAGAGATGAGTATATGATGAAAGAAATGTCAGAGGGTTTGCCAAAGAATCAAACATCAAACTTTAAGTCTATTGAGGAAGATCATGATAAAGGAGATTTGTCTATTGTGATAAAAAATGATAAAAGTGTAAAAAACACCAAAAAGACGCTTGTGCAAAGAAGAAAACAACGAGAACAAAAACAAGCAGCTAATAAACGCGCATTGAGCAAATTGGAAAAGAAGAAAGTTTCTGACATCTATAAATTGAAAATTTTGCAAAAGCAGATAGACGCCAAGGAGAAAAAGCAAGAACTCTTGCGACAGAAACGAATGAAGAAACATGAGAGGAAACTTTTTATGCCAAAGAATCTGAGTAAGACAAAGTTTGAACCCATTGATCTTGATTTTCAGCTTGCGGAAGAATTGACTGGCAATTTGAGAAACTGTAAACCTTCTAAAAATTTATTGAAAGAACGGTATAAATCGCTTCAACAAAGAAACATTGTTGCACCAACCGTCATAAAATTGTAAGTACAAGCAAAATAGATTCATGAAGTGCATTCATTAGAACAGATTCTAGTGAATTCTCTAGAAAGTAGGATAATTTAGCACAGTTTTTTAAGAAAAAGATTTCAGGATAGAGAAATTAAGCAAAAAAAGAAATAATTTGAATATGAAAATGATTGATTAATTATTGTTTTGATATTAACAAGTTATAAATGAATTGTTCAGTATATCTTAAAAAAAAATGTTTAATATATTTACAATATTTTTTATGATTTAGGAAACGGGACAAAGCAAAGATGAAACAATTTGTGAAGCCAGATCATAAAATAAACTTGGATGACATCAAGGGAACTACAATCTTACAATAACAGAATTTAATCAGTCTAATATCTTTATATTTTCTTTATACTTAATAAGTAAGATTCATGTTACAGATGAAAATTAAAATTTTCTGTATAGTTGATTAAAATAGAAATATAAAAACTAAAAATATAAAAATCTAGAAATATATATATATAAAAGCATATATATATTAAATAGTTTCTCCAACATTTACCAAAATTTTACAATGTTTTTTTATAAATAAAAATTAAATTGCTTCAATTTTATTGTATATGTACGCAACACCATTAGTAAGTCATAATGTATATACATTTTTTATAATTTCTTAATTTTTTATTTATCTTTCAAATATATTTTATTCTTTCGGTATTATTTCAATTCTACTAAATCCAATTTTTACTATTCATTGTTGCTTGCTTTTATTTTAAGGTTTTTTAGGACATATGTAATATTGTACAATATCTGTAAATATTCTTGAAATTGTCCAGATATCCAGTGTTTTTGATTCTCTACAATAGTGAATTTTTCTTTTTCACAATAAAGTAAAAGTTCTGCATGTTTCACACGTGTTTCGTATTTACGTGCTAGAATTCTACCATTATCTTTGTTTATTATATACTGCTCTTCAGTAAAATAATTAAATTTAACCAGTTTGGATAAATTAACATTCGCTTTTTTGTGAATTTCATGTAACATTATGATTGTAGACTTCTCTAGTTTAGAAATTACTATGGATCGTTTTGTGCACAAGTATACATCATTGGTTTTCCTTTTATATTTTTTTACTGCATTTCTGCGAAATAATGTCGCAATTTTATTAAATTATAAAAATGTTAAAACAATTTATTTTTTATATTTTTGAGTATATTATATAGGGTGATTCAGGACCTTTGCGACAAACTCTGAGAAACGATAGATCTCGCAGAGAGGACCATTTTCTGTGAAGCAATTCATGTTCTCTGACACGTTGTTTAGGAGCTACACAACTGCGTAGACAAGTCTTAGGTGACATATATTACAATTATGAAATAAATTATTTATTTATTGTTTCAAATACACTTGCAGACAGTTTACAGAAGGCGTTAGTGTGTACCCTGAACCTGATTGCATTCTGCACTACATTTGGCCGTAACATGACCTCAAACATTCAATAGAGTCTGACAATCAATGTTACGACGGTGACATAAATGCAATCAGGTTCAAAGTAGACACTTTTGAATACCTTCTGTATACTGTCTGCAAATATATTTGAAACAATAAATGAATAATTTATCTCATAATTGCAGGGATGGATAGTAACTAGTTAAATAGTTAAAAGTTAAAAAGTTAATAACTTTTAACTTAGTTTAGTTAATTTAAAATGTATTAATTTTTAACTTAAACTAGTTATTTTTAAAACACAGAAACTTAAACTTTTTCCAAAGTTAAAAATTTTTTCATCTCTCTGAACACCGATATTTTTTTTCTATAAAATCTTGAACATTGGATAATTATTTTTAACATGTAATTATATGTATGTTATTCTCATAGACTTATATAGATACTTTACCATAAGAGGCAACATGGTAACATCAACGGCGCAAACATAAGCCTAGTAAATCTGTCTTTTTTTTTTCCTGATTGCTAATTAGAAAAACACGCTGGTTCTTACGTAAACTGTATCTATATACAGGTAATTTTGCACAACTTTCATAATTGTAAAAGATAAAAATACATTTCTATGTAAAAAATAAACTTTTGTTATTTTATATAAGCTTCACAAAAATAACAAATAAAATAAAAGATTTTACAACAATTAAAATATTTAATTTATTCGATAATTTATATGTTAATTTTATTGTAATTAAATTTAATTAAAAAATACGACATTTTAATATAATATAAATAATGCTTTTAAAAAGTAACTTTTCATGTAACTTAGTTAATTTAAATTCTTAACGTGACTTTTAACTGAGTTATTTTTTTTTCATGCGACTTTTTCAACATAACTAAATTAATTTTTATAAGCCATTATAAACTTTATATTAACTTAGTTTTAAAAAAATTAATTAACTTACCCAATCCTGCATAACTGTGATAAATGTCACCTAAGACCTGTCTGCGTGCGGTCGCGTAGCTCCAAAACGACGTGTCAGAAAACATGAGTTGTTTCACAGAAAATGGTTGTCTCTGCGACGTTCCTCACAATTTATCGCAGAGGTCCTGAATCACCCTGTATATTGAGTCTATATTATTTAAAAATATAAATTGATTTACCTGCACAGCATGTAATCCCGTGTGTTAGAAGCTGCGCTGTCCGTCATCATTGACAATTGATTCTTTAGAGCTATATTTTCCGACAGTAAATTAGGTATAGAACGCGGCACATGTTTCGGTACTTCAAATTGAAATATATTAGCCAGATCCAAAAGATTATTATACAATCTCTTTTTGAATCTATATAGAACACATTAAACACAAATAACATGTCAAATAACATATATTTATATAATTTTCTTATAATCTTCAATAAGAAAATAAAATTTATCTACTATTACCTTTCTCTGTCAATCTTGAATTTACGTTGAATTTTACATAGATTCTCTACTACCTGTTCTTTTTCATTGATTAAGAATTGACTTCTCATATCCAGTTTTTTTTCCAGAATATGTTGTGTTGATTTGTAATCTTCCAAAACATTAGTTTTAGCACCTTAACATATGAAAATTAGAAAATCCGAAAAACATATTTTTAACATTAAAAGACAGAGAGCTAATAGACAAGAAGAAAAAAGGAGAGAGAAAGACAGGGAACGGAAGAAAGGAGGGAGGGAGAGTGATTAGAGAGGGAGAGACGAGAGCCATAAAAAATACTACTATGTTAATAAATTCTCAAAATTTGATAAAGTTATGTATACATACGTGCAAACAGGGTATAAAAAGTTCCGGGACGGCATATGATATCTCGAAAAATGTAAGTTTTATAAAAAAAAATTTCAGACAACAGTTATTGTAATAGAGTTTAAAGAAGTCTATTACTTTTACTGGTCTTAATCAGCATTTGATCTTGGATGACGTTATCCAAAGTCAGATTAACCCTTTTCGGTCACACTTCCCGAGAATCCCGTACCAGTCACACTGGGTAAAATACACCCCCAGCGTGTTTGCACGTGTATAAAAAATTGTAGGTGACCTTAAAAAAAAATATCCTGTTGTAGTTTAAGTCTTCCTTAAAAAGACTGTATAGGTTTGATTTGCAAAAAATTAATTTAACATGTGTAAAAAAATTGTTGAAAAAAAGTCGGAAAAGTGACTTTTCACAAAAACTAATGTAACTTTTTCAATTTTTAAGATATTTTAATTTTTCAAACGGTTTTTTCATCCTCAGATGACGCACTTTTCACTGATTATTGCAGTTTATGCGGTTGTTCCAAAAAGTATGTTGATTTTGAGGTATAAAAGTGCGATTTTTTGCGGAAAAAAATGCCGAGAGAGAACTAACGGGCCGAAAAATATACCACCGACGGGGATCGATACTTGAAGGTCCCAAAACTACCTGTAGATGGCGGCACAAGGCCCATTTCCATTGGTTTACTGGGTCGTTTTCGAAGTAAAAAAACGCTGGGGTGTATTTTACCCAGTGTGACCGAAAAGGGTCATTTTTAATTTTTTAAATAGGACTCCTTACTTTTTATCGCATATTTTGGTAAATATTTACCCTTACGACCTTCCCCCCCAATGACTTTCTCCTTCACATATATTATAGAGGTTATCCTCCTGAGTAATCTTCAGAAGGTTTCCCTGGCGGAAAAATTTCTACAAAATTTAAAAAAAAATAAAAGTGTACTACAAAAAACTATAAAATATAATTGCCAGAATCTATTAAATTCTACATGAATTTAAGAAGTACTACAAAATCCTACATGAAAATGCTAGAATTGGAACACTTGTAAATTTTTGTATATTTTTAGTGCATTTTGATCTACAAATTTTTCGGTAAAACTACGCCAAACTACAACTAATACTGATATTCTACACATTTCTATATCTATTTGAGCACAGTAGACTACAAGAAAATACTAAAATTAAAACACTCTATAATGCGGAAATTCACCCGACATAAAAAAAAATTATATTTATTTTAAAATTTTATTACTACTTTTTAACTAAATTTGTTTCTTAAGATGCAACCCTATGATTATAAATATTTTCTCGTACTTGAAAAACACACTTACCTTGATGGGATTCGAACTCGAGACCTCGGGGACCTCTGGATCGTGAGCCAACCGTCTTACGTGGTAGACTACTTCTTAATTTGATGTAAGTGTTATACATAGTCTACATGTGTCATAACCAGCGCCAATATATAATTTTTCAAAAATTCTTAAGAAACAAATTCAGTTTAAAAAGAGTAATAAAATTTCGAATCGGATATACGAATATAATTTTTATTTCTTAATGTCGGGTGAATGTCAAAAACCAGTGCCGGCTCGTTACAAAATAGGCCTATTGGGCCAACTTCGCGCCGCGCGATTATATAAAAAAAAACTTCTTTATTCTAACTTATCTGTAAAATAAAAAGCGAGTTATTATAAAAAAAACCTTACCCAGCACCACATACACACATGTCTAAAACCGCAAAACCCGGAAAAAAAATCTCTTATTTATTCATATTAGTTTATATATTAGTAGATACATGATTATATATGATCATATAAGAAATGGAAAATACAATCTTAAACAATATTATATGGCCATATATAAGCATATATGATTATATACTCGGGAAAAAATACCTCTTATTTGTTCATATTAGTAAATATATAATTATATACATATGGTCATATAAGAAATGGAAATATAATCTTAAACAATATTATATGGCTAAATCTCTTTAAATATAACTTTATATAGTCATATATGGTTTTATATACTAGTATATTATCATGTGTGATCATGTAAAAGTATATTTATAAGGTTAAAGCCATATATGAATATATATACTCTATAATCGATCTATCCATATAAATTTGTATAACTGTTATAAATATTCTTCTAATAGTATATTATTTTACTTGACAATATCAAATTAATATAAAATATATTAATTTTAGTTTCAGTTTACACAATTGCTTGATATTGTGAAATATTATTAAGCATCAAGATCTGCTTCGACCGAAAACGGCACTTCTCATTGCTTATATGTTATTTTAAGTTCTTTTTTTTCTAATTTTGCATAAGATACTTAATTTTTTTAACGACATATTAAGGGGATCCTGCAGTGACTGGCGAACTTCCTCGATGTCGATAATGTCAACCTTTCTAATTTTGTTTTCCCTATATCTGTCTTTGTCTAACGAAATGACATCTGTCCTTTTTTCGATTGCTCGCCATCTCTCGCAAGATCCGGCAACTACTGTTGCTGCTCTTCTTGTCATTTGCATCTGTATTTGCATTACTAAAATAATTTTTCGATGGATCTTTTTTTGTACGCATTGAATCTTACTTCTACTTGCACGATATTATTCCTACATGTTTTCCCAAGGGCAGATGATAAAAATTATGTATGTATAAACTGCAGAATTTTTGTTTTAAGCAAATATTGTCGTCAGGTGACAGCTGCGTATGTGCCCAAATAAGTAACATTTTTAATTTTTTGGCGTTTTTGATATAAAATCGCGTTTTCTGCCCTAGATTTTTGTGCGTACTTTAATTCTAGACCAAAAACTTGCAATTCTGTAAAGCCAATTAAAAGATCCATCGAAAAACGATAATGTCGGTAAATCATACGGCTGCAGGATCCCCTTAATTAATGTTTTTTGACATATTAATTTTCACTTTCCATGGAAAAGTTGAAGGTTTGGTTGAAGGTCTGTTAATTTTCATGTAAAATTGTAGTATCTTATAAACATCTAAAAACAGCATGTAGATTTTCATGAATTCACGAGTTGTAAAAGGCTTAAGGATTTTGTCGTTTTCTGTAGAACCTTGTAGTATTGTATGCAAAATGACAACCATTCACGAATCAGAAATTTATATAGGTAAAAAATTGTACATTTATGTATTTTTCTATTGGACTTTACAACAGACTATACGAAAATAAAAACATAAGTATTTTGACTTCTGCGAATTAAGAAGTTATTAATAATAGATGAATTTTGGAAGATTTGTGTAAAAATTTGTAACATTTAACTAAAAATTACAAATTTTAATTAGCCATAATTGTAATAGATTTTTGAGCTGTACAAACAAATCGGTATTTGTTACTATTCATACAAAATTGTAGTATTTTATGAGAAACAAAAAACTGGATTAGATTCTAATTTGTATAGTTTTACGATATGTAAATTGTGGTAGATTCATTTATAAATAATTGTAGTATTCTACAAGCAAGCAGATGTTTTAATTTTTTAAGATTTTGTTTTTTTTTTAATTTTTTAAATTTGTAGATCTTTGTACTATTTTTTATAAAATTGTAGTTTTTCATAAAATACTACTTACAATAATTTCTTGATTTGAGAACATTGTAATTTGTGGTACTATTTCGTAGATATTTCTACAAAAAAATAACTATTTCCACAAAAAATTAAATATTTCAACAAAAATGTACAAATTTCTATTTTTAGTAAAATTTTGTAGTTATTCATAGAAATTTTTTCTGCCAGGGTTGTAAGGGTAAATATTTACCCATATTTTTATAGCTTCTCTTGAGATTTTTTCAAAACACTAACTTTGGGTTAAAGCAGGAGCCTCCCCGGGAAAAAAAGATTATATATAATTATATGTATATATATATATATAATTATATATAAATATACAATATGATTATATGTGATTATATATATGAAATTTAGTACTTTATATCAAATTATATGTATATGGGTCCATACATCATTATATTTGTTATGAACGTTCTCGGTAATGTCAGGATCTCGGGGTAGGATACACGACTAACACGACTCGAGTCAGTACAGAGAGAGAATAATCTTTATTATACTTTCGAGGAGACCGATGACCGATAGCTTTCGTGCGCGCTACTACCACAGTGCTACTGTCGCCGGGCGAGCGCTCCCCACTCTTTAGCTCGCGCTTTTTGTTTACACGCGATGCCCCGGGCGCATTTCTTCTATTTTTCCCAGGACAATATATGGGCATATATAATTCCAGACATAACTAGATATCAGATAGAACAAAAGATCATGCACTCACGTATGGATACATATAAGATTCATGTGGAAGAATATATAATCCTATATAATTATATATTATACACAGGCGATTAAAATATATTTAAATATATATAATGTTTTATATACAATTTGACATGATTATATGTAAGTTCTTATAATTTATATATAAATTATGTATAAAAAGTATTTATCCTACATAGATTATATATAATTATATATAACATATAACCATATATAAACACAACACATGCGCATTATATTAATTTTATAATAATTATAATAATACATGTCGGCTAGTTTCATAGTCTATACAACTATATAATTAATTAAAAATTAATTATGAACTAACAAACGGAAATGAATGCACTACAATAAATCTACAAACAAAATACAATTGATTTCATACCGTATTTAAAAAAAAAGTGTTAATCGTCGGCTAACATCATACGAATTCCAAAGCCTTAGTAGCTTCAATACTTTTAGGTTAGGTGGCTGTAGAGTTCCTTTATATAGGGACTTTATTAGGTGGCTGTTCCATAACTTGCGTATTAGAAAAAGCGTCATGTGAAGGCCTTATTATCACACATAAAATCCCATAACGACGTAAAACGTAAACGTAAGAAAATCGACCGATCCCAATCGAGTATTGTGCTGTCCGTTATTCCAGTAGAGAAAAATACTCGATTGGGATTGATCGATTTTCTCACGCTTACGTTTTACGTTTTTATGGGATTTTATGTGTGAAGGTCTTAATAAGACATCCTTTAGACAACTTTTCGTTTAGTTAAACAATAGACTTTTCATGTAGTCGGAAAGACATTCCGTCATCTTTCAGTTTTATGTGCTGTCTGTGACTATAGTCGTTCTTGTGCCTTTTTTTGTTAAACAGAATAATCATATAAAATATTAAGAAATAATTACCCAAATATTTAATTTGCGAAGTGAACATGAGTCGCATGTTTTTATATTTTTCTTCTACGTTTATAGCTGTCGCAGTATGAGTGAATTTATCATCAATCCTAGATTTTTCAACAGTAATCAACTGATGTTTATATTTTTTTATTTTGATAACATAGGAAGTTATTTGTGATTTTAAATTGGATATTTCTTGCGTTTTTTCTTCTTGCAAAGCTTTGATGAAACAATTCATATCTTCTAAGTTACCTTCCAATTCTTCATTCCGTTCTTTTAATCTATTTAAAAATTTTTTAATTAAATATTGAAATAAAAGTATTTTTGCTTTACATTCTAGAATTTTGGATATATAAACTCGATAAAAATTTTTTCAAAAACATGTATAAATAT